ATATATATATATATATATATATATATTATCATTATACTTATGTATAGGGTTTACTTCCGACATCAATATCTGCAATATTCTTAAGACCGGTTGTTATTGAACATTAAAGGGAATTAGGAGTTTTTAAACGTTATTGAAACGAATGATTTACAAGGAACATACTGAAGTATACCAAAATTTAAAAAATAGCAACAAAAGGGCGTAAATTCGACAAATTACAGTACACACCAACACAAAAGCCCGTAAGTGTACTATTATATATTTATTTATGTACATCAAAAACAATTAAAAACTGTGTGTGACGTGTTTTGGGGAGAAGTAAATTGAAGTTACATTTATGTCCAGAAGCAAAACCAGGGGCCATCTCAGCATTTTCTCGAGAATCAGGGAAAATGGACGAAAACCTGATCGAGATGGCGGTCATTGACCCAGAAGCTGAAGTTTAATACTTGTTACAGGTTCTTTACAATTATACAATCAAAATGGTATAAAATACATTAAATGTCATTGTCAATATTAATATTACTTTCCTTTTGGATGCTCGGTATAGTCTCTAATTGTATAGAAACAGTTGTGCAGTAAAAAAGATTTTACTTGGGACTTAAAGTTTTGTATCTAATTTAATCGTTTAATATCTAGGAAGGTGTTGTAGAATAATGTACATGTATTGTATGTGAATTTTTTGTAGTGTCACCTGATTGATACTGTCACCTGATGAATATGATTACTACGACGAGTGTTGTAGTTATAGATATCAGCGTTTGCTGAACATAAATTCCCGGTCATAAGTAAGTCATTTTTGACCAAAACCACTAGTATGAAGAGGAATGGTAAAATACCTAGACTAATACAGAGAAGCTTACATAGAATTACGTAGGCTAGATATGCTTATTACAATTCCTTTTTGTCATCTAAAAGTCGGGGAGTAATAAGATGTATATCCCCAGAAAATAATGCTACATCTCAGGCGGGAATAAACTTTCGCTAATATACACAACGAGCAGTGTGGGGGTTGATTGAATTCGAAAGCGCAGCGTTAAGAACTTCATTTAGTGTTCAATTAATTTAAATGGACAATCCATTTAAGGTTTGAATTGAAATATCTAAAAATGTTGTTACCATTGTTATTTTCATTACTATTAATTTATTACGGAATCAATTTGAATTATCTGCTATTGTACTATTTACGGTTTCTTTATTGCAAAGAACATTCGTATCATCCGCAAGGAGAACTGGTCTTCTGTTTCTAATCCTTGAGGGCATATCGTTTACGTATCGTATACGTAGGAAGATAATAGGACCTAAAATCGATCCCTGCGGGACTCCACATGCAATTGGCAAAGAATCAGAAAGTTGTGTAGGAAGAATGTTCCATTATTACAGGAAGTTATTTCTACTCTCTGAGATCGTTGTTTAAGGTACGAATATAGCCAATCTAAGAGCAACACCACGAATTCCATATGAAGGTAATTTTGAAAGTAAAATGTTATGATCAATGACGTCAAAGACTTTTGAAAGATCTAAAGATATTCCAATAAGTGCTTTGTTTTAATCCTTGGATGACGCGACATCTTTAAGAAAAGAAAATATGGCTGTTTTCGAAGATTTTGATTTTCGAAACCCAATCTGGAAACGCACCGTGTTTACTAAGAAATGTTTCCATTCGTACGTAAAAAAGTCTGTCTAATATTTTTGAAAAAACAACAAAAGAGAAATTGGGCGATAATTTTGATTTTCATTTTTGTTGCCTTTTCGGATAGCGGCTGAATCTTAGCTGTTTTAAAAATATCTGGAAAAATTCCGATAAGGCATAAGGATAGATTGAATATGTGAGTTCACTGGTGTATAATGGCGGACGCGCAAACCTTTACCAAACAATCCGGAAATTCATTTAAGTGGACAGAATATTTATTTTTTAGTCTACCGATTATTTTGAAAACTTCATAGTAAGAAGTTTCGGAAACAAACATCGTGCCTGAAATTTTTGGGAAAACGGCTGAGGTTTAATTTTGTGGCTGACGACCCTTAGTGAGATCGGCAGCAATACTTGAAAAGTATTGTTTACAGAGAGTAGCCACTGTTGTCGGTTCGTTAACATTTCTATCATTATTTTTTTAAAACCTTCTCTACAAGGTTTCTAGTTGATTTGGTCGAATTTTTTACTATATTCCACATTTGCGGTTTTTTTTTATTTTTTTAAAAATATTCTGGTCATGTTTCATGATTTTAGCCTGCCATATAACTTTTCTTAACAATGATTTGCATTTTTTTTTAAGAAAATGAAACCTTGAGATATGTTCTGATCGTTAGAAATGAAAGAAAGAATCCTTTTGTTTTTACGTGATGTTCTAATGCCTTGTGTTGTCCTAGAATTGCTTTCCGTGAAATATTTAATTTTCTTTTCTGGAGGAAAGCAAGTGTTAAAATGAAATGAAAGCACTTGGCACTTGCACTTGGCACTACTACTTGACCGTTAATTAGCTCCAGAGGTTCATGAAACAAATAAAACGTATAATTTTGTAGATAATGCTACGACGAAATCAGCAGGCAATAGTCGTGGTTAACACATGTTCTGATGTAGTAATCGTTACCATTCATAACTCGAATAACGTGTGTCTTATGCCCAGTTTTCACGCCCCAACAGGAGCCCGACATTTTTTGGGGGGGTTGTTATCCATAAAACAAGACCTTTTTGAAAATTTCGTTATTTTTTTTACGTTTAGCCATTTTGGATATCCCACACTCAACCTATTCGACATCGATTAGAATTTTAGACTACCCCTCCCTAGTTGGTGTTCCATTATGATATTTTCACGTAAACCTGAATACGTTTATTACAATAAACGACTGGGTATCTATTTCAATCGGTTATACAATAAAACTTTAATATTTTATTTTTATTTTTTAAGAAGGTCCTAATAAAAAAACTTTTCAAAAAGTACTGGGGAATTAAAATGAGGTTGTGGTCTATGCATCATAGCTGCATATCAAACTAAAAATGAAATATTATTGGTTGTACGTGTTAGCCGTCAGATCTTATTGCGTAAATTCTTCAAGTATTCCCCAAACATTCAAGAATTCCTTTCTGTAAATGTTAAATGAAGGAACAAATTTAGTGATTGCGTAGTCTTCCCCGGCTGGAGAAGTTAAGATTATCTAGGCAATCTGGAACGAGATGCGTCTCTGTCGTGGTGGCTGACGTTTTGGCCACCTGTGGCGTACTGCTGTACCTATGCTCTGAAGATGGCCACAATATCTCGGCCAAAACGTCAGTCACCACGACAGAGAGTGGAATTAAGCACACGGACAATTTTAAAGTATATACAGTTTTATTTATAGAATTTACAAATATCTCGACTACCCCGTACACACTATCCGGTATTTCCCGACGGCCGGACGCGGTCGTACCATCTTGTGGATATACCACATGTATACAAAAGGCCCAAGTGCACTCTTCTACCGCCCCACTCGTGACCTTCGACACCCGTGCAACGCATGAATTCGCACCAGCCTGGGCGTGAATTTTGCGCAAAGCGCGAGGTTTACAAGTATAAAACCCACCAGCGTGAGTGAGTCGGCACAATTTACACTCGCGTATCCCCACGTGACCACCGTTGAGCGCAGGAATGAGGTTTACTGTCACGTGGCACTCACTGCGATAAAAGTCTGCGTGTACTTGGCTCTAAAAATATCTGCCACCCCCAACTTCATGGCTGCTAGCTATAGTTCTCAGGTGTTAGAGGCTTCCGCGTTCTCCTCCCACGTAGGGCAGCCAACGTGACAGTACCCTAGATAATATCAAAATTTAGTAACTATACGGTAATAAATAGTAAAAACGTTTAGGTGAGATATTGACTTTCAACCTAAAATAATTATATTCATTTGCAAATAAAACTCATTGGTTTTGACATCTGGGATGGTCATGGAGTTTTCTGAGCATAAAAAACAGAAAATTGACGTCAGAGGCAGCAAGGAGTGGAGCAGTTAAAGGTTGCACTGATCAGTACAACAAGGTGCTTAGGTGACTAGAAGATTCTTAAAGAACATGCGAGAGAGCTGACAATGGGGTAGGTAGTGAAATAAATTGGGGAAAAAGTATTATTCAAGATCTTCCATAATTTAAAAGCCTCCTCTTCGTAAGATAGAAAATAACACAACTCATTAATGAAGGGATGGTGTGCCAACGTTAATGTAAAATGACTAGAGCGGTAACCTACATTACCTAATTTACATTTTTGATCATTTCGTGTATCCGTCCCTTATCTTCAACACAATGCGTTGGAAAAAAAATTAGCATCAACGTCCTAGTCATCATTACCTCAGTGATACTGCTTCAAAATCCCTTTTCTTCCCAAGTTTATGGAAATTTGACTGGAGGTATACTGGTGTGTGTATATATGTATATGTATATATATATATATATATATATATATATATATATATATATATAAAATCATTGCAAAGTGTCCTAATATCAATATTCTAGTTTTGAGTGAAGAACTCATAGCAACCCCGAATTTATCTGTGGGTAATGCACGAAGTTAATATTTTAGTTAAACAGTCTTGGAGAGGGCTATGGTCCCTTTGACCTTAACCATTCCACCACTACAAAACTGAAATGAAATGAATGCACTAAATTGAATTAAAACTTACGAATTGTTGAATAAGTTGTTAATACATTTGTATATATTCTTTCGACATAAAAAGCTTTTCGTAATATCACAATCTGACGCACTAACGACCAAAAAATTCCTCAGCTGTGCACGACCAGCCACTCTTATTTGCTTCGTATTCTGCAAAACAAAGTAAAACTTTAACACAGCGAACATAAAGATTAAAAACACGTCTAAAACACTCAATTAATTCATAATATCGTCATTGGTGGGTTAACACATACTGTTATGACCCAAACAAGTTAATTTCATAAACCAGTTTTTATTCACAATTGCTGAACATACAGAGAAAGCCGTTAACATGCGTAGTCCCAAAATAACCAGGAAATTTACCAGGGACTTGCCAAATTTAACAAAAGCCGAAGAGATGTCCAACAGCTAGTAATATGTTTTTTTCGTGTTAATTGCGTATGAAACTCTCGTTAATGTTCTGCATCACGCAATTAGCATCTCAATAAAACATAAAATGCGCTATTTCGAGACTCATATCATCGGAACACAGGAAAAGTGATGCAGAGCAAAAATCGTAATTTTTAAGTGAAGTGAAGAAATATATTTCAAAACGTGTATATTTTTTTTTTATAAAAATTGTATAAAGTTAGCGAATAAGCTCAGATTTAAACAAGACAAAATGATAATTTCTTAGACGTTTCACTTCTCTCATGTACCGACGATATCATCAATTTTAACGTTCATGGCAGAACTGAAGCCTCCCGCGTCCTTCTTGAGGTGCCGGCGTCGCGTCGCGGGACCGGCAGTGTTGTCGCAGGGCCGGAATGTGCTCTGTGTGGGTTCGAAGAGCGCAGGGCGTAGGGCGCGGCGTTGGGCCGCTGCGTGCCGCGAGGCCGAGGAACTCCTCGACCGTTGGCCCGTCAGGGCACACAGCCAACGGTGGTGGAGTTACCACACCTCGAGGCACAGCCCTCGCGTCCCGCGCCTCGAGCAAACACCTCTGACTTCGTCTGCGTTCGCGTTCGCCACCGACTCCGCCGCCTTCACCGCCGTCTCCGTCGCCCCCGGTGCACACTGGGGCCAGTGAGAGAAAAAGTTGACAAGAAGTACTTTTAAGCGTTGTTCGGGAGTTTTAAAATTAAAAAAAACATTTTAGAATTAAATAATGACTTAATCAATAGTTTAACCTTAAAATATTCAATTATATAACCTCAAACTCAGAACTTCCATCATGTGACTCTTCTTCCAGAAGTGAATTTCTACTGTTAGACTCTAACAATGATGTAACTTCTAGGCCCAATGCCTTTGTTACAATGTTTCTCTATTCCATTTCTGATATCAGTGGGCCAGATGCAATTAACGCCCAGCGAAGCACTTTCTTGCTAGTTTGCTGTCTGAATATTTTTCTGGTGAAATTTTCTCTGTATTTTGCCTTCTTTTTTCCCTTTTCTGTGTGTTAAATGACATCACACATCCCTGCTTGTTAATAAAGAACTCTCAGTACCAGATCATGAATGAAGAATTAAAAAAATGAATGATGTAGGTAGAAATGCTAACAAAACTAGGTGGGCATCATTACAAAGTGTCTTAACCCAAAATAGGGCAAACTTTGAATAATGTTTCGAAAACTATATGAATTCCAGAATCAGATTCAGTCAGTATCATAGCCCGGATATGCCCGGAAGGTAACTAAAAGCTCAGATGGTAACTAAAAGACAATATAAAAAACTGGATTTAAAAATTTCATTCCGTTGTGACACGTGAAGTGTCTACTTGGAATTACCGAATTATTATTTAAGGAGTATATTTTTTACTCATACAGATTTAAAGAGTACACCTCTAAGTCTAGAGCACATTCCATTTTGCTGCTCGAGAGAGCAAAACTATTTACATCGAAAAACACACCTCTCTTCTTAGTGCGCCGCTCGACAATAGTGCAAGTTCAAACTTGCACTAAAAGAAGTGGCCTGATTCCCCATCCCTTTCCTGATCGGGGAAGGATGAAGGAGACATTTTGCAACCCCTTTCATGTGAAAAGGAGCTACTAAAGCATATTTTGATTTTGGACGCTTTGCCAACTTTCTCCTCTTCTGGTCCCACTGTGCGCCGCCGCTGCCGTTGCTGTCGCATTCACCGCCACCGCTCCCCGCCCCCGCCACAGCCTCCGCTTCGCCTGCAACACAACAACACAGCAAAGCTATATTATAAGGTTAACGTTATGTAAACGGCTACGGCTTGGAATCCGTAGGACCGTTCACGCGTCAATTATGACTCAGCGTTTGGTGACAGTTTTCCTCATCTGATAAACCAAAGCAAAGGGAGCTCGATTCAGAAGGGAGGGAAGGCTCCAGAAGGCGGGCAGACTTCCACGAAACTCGAGCGGCACCGGTCGACACGCGTCCGACTGCGTTCCCAAATCCGCAGGTAATAAAACGCTGCCAATCTGCTGCCGCGCAGGTCTGAACGAGCTCCTAAGGCAACACGTGACGCGAAATTTCCACTGCGGCCATTCCGCCTTGGCTACGGGTCTCCCGTGCCGGTCTGTGGGAGCCTGTAGGCGAATGCCAGGACAGTACCCTAACAAATAGCCCATGGATCGCAGTCTTGTCTTTGTTATCCTTTCCCACTTCTTCCTTTATATACATTTCTACATTTACGAACACTCAAGCACTATACTAGCACACACATCGCGAGATTATAGTTTGTCTCGGTCGGGACGGTTCTCCGCATGCAGTAATACCTGGGGAGGGAACACATAGGAAGCCGACGACGTGAAGTTCGGCGCCGCATCTCATATTCCTTCAGGAAAATAAAATAAATCACTACACATATGGGACTAAAGATAGAAGTTCTAACAATAAATACTCATTCTCAGTTTCGTACGCTGAAACTTACGAGTTGTCTACGTGTATCATTCAATATCAAACTTAATAATCGCAATCAAAAGAATTCGAAACATTCTTAACTGTATCTAAAGCGCAAGGAAAATAAGTTGTCATCGAATTTGTTTTACGCGTTTATTGATGTTTTTCTCATTTTCTTCATTCTCATCGATTTTTTAGTTTTTCGAGAGTGTTTACTCTTGCTGGGTTCAAAAACCAACCAACAACTGCATATGAATAACATCAGAAATACCCATATATAATAGAGCCCGCACATCAAAGGTGAATATGTATAAACGCGGTAAATGAGGTAAACGTAGCTTGGCGAGAACAATACTCACCGAATACCGACATTCGATGCAAAGCAAATACTGACGTTGCAACGATATTTGAGCCTCCAGAAAAGATTGGACCCAAATTGAGCTCCACATGGAGACATTATTTCTTGTTATTTACACTTAGACAGGGGTAAATGCGTATTGCAGTCTCATGTAAACTTTGCGAAAGAAGACAATGGAACTATTTGAAAGAGAGAAGATTAAATCAATACTTAGCGCCCATATTTTAACCTTTATTTTTAAATTCCAATTTAAATTTGCAGATGAAATTTACGCATCTCAGTTATATGATAGTACACCACGCCAACAAACACAAGAAACCAAAAATAACTTCCAGCTGGGTGGTTTACAACCAAGAACGTTTCTCACGACTAGGCTAGCAAGTTTTTAAAGTATATACAGCATATTTTTTAACGAGTGGTTGGAGAACCTAGGGGTTCGAAACGGGTGGTTAAGGTTTAAATTTATTTAGTCAAAAAACAGTAAAAACTGTATGTTACGTATGAGGGAGAAGTTCATCTGCGCACGTTTTCTTGAGTTCAAAAATCCCTTCCAAACATTTTAACTATAAACAATTGAAAGACGAGTTATAATAATAGTTAAAGATAATTAAATAAAAATAAAACTTAAAAAAGCGCGAGATTACCAACATTTGAAAACGGATTAGACGTTTTCGTCTCCGAGTTATAGAAAATTTATTTGCAACGGTAAACAAACTACGTATTTGATTTTTCTACGCTGCTAACAAAATAGTAACTCCCCTTACCTCTACTCCTACCACTACAAGCAAAAGCAGAGTTCAACAAAACATGCGCATAGTGAAGTTACATTTACGTCCAGAAGCAAAACAAGGGGCCATATCAGCATTTGCACAACGTATCAGGGAAACTGAACAAAAACCTGATCGAGATGGGGGGTCATTGACCCGGAAGCTGAAGTACATTAACTGTTACAAGCAATCTTTTAAAAAAATTATACAATACAAATGTAAACTAATTCAATATAATATTGTTTTATTAAAATAAACATACTTTTTCTTTTTGATTATCAGTATAGTCTCTAATTGTGTAGAAACAGTTATGCAACAGAAAATATTTTACTTTTAACTTAAATTTGTGTACCGACTTAAATTGTTTAATGTCATCTTGCAATGCGTTGTAAAGTAGGTAACACACATGTATTGTATATTCTGGCAATGAGCTCTTAACACTTGACACTTAATAAACGTGATTTCTACGACGTTTATTGTAATTATAAATATCAGTATTGCATGAAAATATGTTCCCACTGTTAAGTCAGTCACTTTTGACAAATAATACAGATTCGTAAATAAATAGGCAAGGCAATGGTAAAATTCCACGCTCAATGAAGAGAGGGTTGCAGGGATCATGCGGATGGCATCTTTTTCATTATTCGAATAATTTTCTTTTGCAACCTAAAGATCTAAATATTACATGATGAACGTCCCCAGAATATTGTGCCATATCTCAGGCGGGAATGGACATTTGCAAAATACACGCAACGAGCTGCATGAAGGCAGACGAAATTTGATAGAATTCTGAATGCGCAACATCATGAACTTAATTTGGTGTTTAATTCTGTTATATGTACATTCCATTTGAAGTTTGACTGAATTAAGAGATCTAGAATTTCTTTTTTTTATTTTTTTTTATTTCAGGTCATCAACTACTAGGTCATTAGCGACCACTATTGCCTGTAATAGTATGGTAACTATGATACACAACTATGACGATGACACGATAAGATGAAGATGATGATGATGATGATGATGATGATGATAGGGGTATGAAAAGACGAACACAATACAACCATGCCCGAGGCGGGACTCGAAATCGCAATCCTTAGGTCCGAGATCGCTACGGCACTACTGCCTTAGCGATCTCGGCCATCCGGCCTAGAAATTTCATTACCTTCCCATCAGCTAATTGTATATTGTTCACTTTCAGTGGAGCATGCGATTGCTGATTTGAAATACAAAAATACATTGAAGCTCTTTACCTTTGTTTACTATTAATTTATTACAAATCCAATTTGAAACTTTGGATTATAAATTATTTTAATTTTTTAAATTAAAATTAAAATTTGAAATTATAGTATTTTTTATTTATTATTTATTTATAATTGTTTGCAAAGAACATTCGTGTCATCGGAAACAGATTTGTTCTTCCATTTTTGTGACTTGTTTGGTCAAATGACTATTTGAGCCCATCAAACATATATTTGAAGACTTGGAGATGTGTCGTGTCGTTAACGACACCATACAGAAAACAAAAATGGACGTCATGAAAGAGCTGGGGGTGCCTTCTGAATTGAAGACAATTTGCACTGAGCCACAATTCGCACTGAGCCAAATGATTTCTCGAGAAGCCCAAGCAGATTATATCAAGAAGGCCCCTCAGATACTTACACAGAAAAATAATCACTTCGCTCTGCGCTCTCGACCGAGCAACATCGCTCCGAACGTTTCGCAGAACAGTGGTGGAAAATATATTTAAACTTAATCTAGATTAAAATTGTAACTTAATCTTAATCTAGGGAGAGGAAAGAATAAGCACCTCAGGAGAAATTATTCTACATTGGCAAATATCTGAAGGAAAAGATGAAAGCGGGAATCTGTTTTCTTAATTCTGATTTTGTATCTGGATCTTTTGTGAGTCTGTAGTGAGTTGATGCCTTTATGAAGGATAAGTTTTGTGTAAAAGTTGTTAGATAGGAATGCTATTTGGTGAGTTATTTCATTTATGTTAAGACGTTGATGAAGCTGTTATATTACTAATGAACCTGGTGCTCTTGTTATTGATCTTAAATATTTTGTTTTGAATGCTTGGAATTTTGTTGAGATTGGTTTTGGCGGGCATTGATCGATCGGGCAGCGTATAATATTATTGGGCGAGAATGAGTGATTGTTATAGTGGTTAGTGCATTTGACAGTGAGAAGGTGGTTGTTATAAGTTTAAGTAGAGTTCTTTTAATTGGATGAGTTTGAATTTTTGCCCTGTTTGCTT